CGCTCCTTGCCTAACACTGTGGGTCCTTTGATGTAGCCTCTTCCGTCTCTGTGGGTACTGAGGTCGTTTGTCCTCTTCGCCTCCCTCCTGGATGCTAGCAGGTCCAGAATAGGAACTGTCTTACCTCATTATTCTCTCTCTTCCTAACGCTTGTCTCTCCTTGCTGGTGAGTCCTTGCTGCGAGATTCTTCGCTCCGTTCCTTGCTGTCCTTTCCTCTTCTTAGCCTCCCCTTCTTCACTGTCCTTCTGCTTTCTTCAGTTTTTTCTACCACCGGCTCGTTCCTCGCCCTTGTCTTTTCCCTTCGTGTCTTTTCCCTTCCGTCTACTCTCCTGCTTGTCTTCTCTCTCCCTTTCTTCGTTGTCTCCCTCCCCTTCTTTGTGACCACGCCCTAGGGCGTGGCTGGGCTTGGTTCCTGTCGTTGCCCTCGCCCAATTTCACGATAGGCAATCGAGTTTTCGGCTCGGAGTTTTCGCGTCTTGTCCCTTGGTGGTAAGTCGTGGCGAGAGAACTCTTGCTTGCTCTCCCGGTCTGCTCGAAGAGGAGACTGAATCGATTCGTCGTTGTCCTTTTCTCAACTTAGATGTATCCCGCTCCTCGAAGATCGTCCCTTCTGTCTTCTTCCTCCCCCCTCCCGGTCTGCTCTAAGAGGAGACTGAATCGATTCGTCATTGTTCTTTTCTCAACTTAGATGTGTCCCGCTCCTCAATGCTCGCCCCTTCTGTCCTCTTCCTCTCCCCTTCTCATCCTTTCCTTCCTGTGTCTAGCTGAGTTGGGAGTGGCCACGCCCGAGGGCGTGGCGTGGCGTGGCGTGTTCTCTCCCCCCGTTTTCCTGCCTTGCTTCTTCGTATTCGAAAGGAAGTGGAAAAGCGCGCGCTTGCCCGCGCGGCGCGAATTCTCGTGTGCGCCGAGAAATTGCGCCGTGGCGTGGACGCGCGAATTAGCGCTGCAAATTAGCGCTCACTGGTCGGCGCCGGCGCCAACACCCCCCTATGTGCGCGCCACGCATTCTTACTGGGGCTAATCTTCTTTCTCTGTATCGTTCCAATTTTAACGGATGTCCCCAAGGACATGCAGATTTCACTCCACAAAATCCAGAAAGACAACTCCTGCCTACCGTCTTCCCCTGAATAGAACGCGCAGTCATTATCGCTATACCTTGTACTCGAGGGAAGACGGTAGGCAATGTCTCTGTCCCCGTATTCAAAACAATCTCTGCACCCAACTGAGCAGAAGTCCACCGAACATCAGTGTCTAACAAATGGCACATATGTCATAAACTATGATAACAGCAACAATTTGCCGACAAATACTATTCAATGTATTCATTGATTTCTCAACGATTTTACTCTGGCTTATGATTATGGCTTTCATACTTTGCAAGTTTGAAAAAAACTAAAAATTGCTGATCGTTGCACAAGACATCACAGCTTAGTGATAAGGTAGGTGTGATGACAATGCGCTTGTGCAGTGTCTACCCGGAAAAGACACTAGTCCTCACCCATGTGGCTTTCAAATTCAGACCAGTGCACTATGTTCACGCCACAACTTCGCGGCAAACTTTATGTAGTACATGGTTGAAAATGTTGGTGTCCACGAGTTGCATTCCTCACGGTTGGCCTGTCCGCGCACAAGGGATTGGGGGGGTTGTCGACCTCCGTGATAAGTAGACGGCGCGCTGAGGCGGGGGCCCACAAGCAACACCACTACCCCTTCCCCCCCCCCTTTGCCAACAAAGCACGCCGCCACCTCCCTTTTCTTCTTCGTCTTCATCTTCGTCTTCATCTTCGTCTTCGTCTTCGTCTTCGTCTTCGTCTTCATCTTCTTCTTCTTCTTCTTCTTCTTCTTTCAACCTTCTCACTACTGTCCTCATCATGATCACCATCATTGTCATGATCGTTTAGGTTGTGAACAGGACCAATGTTGTGCAACCCTCATCATTTGAAAAGGCCAAGATTTGTAGAGGGAAAGCTTCTTTTTCTTCTTTTTCTTCTTCCTCCTCCTCCTCTTCTTGTTCTTTTTCTTCTCCTTCATCTTCTTTCGTCTCCTCCTTCTCCTTCTTCTCCTTCTTCTTCTTACCTCGTTCTCCCTCCTTGTCACTCCTCCTCATTCTTTTCTCTCCTCCTCCCTCTTCCTCCATTCTTTTCTCTCCTCCTCCTCCTCCTCCTCCTCCCTCCTTTCCCCCTCCTCTCCTCCTCCTCCTTCCTCTTCTTCTTCTTCGTCTCCTCCTCCTCCTCCTTTCGTAATCTTTATACCAACCATCTTCAATTGTCATACATCATCAACATCGTAATCATTCATTTCAAATCGTCATGATCATCATGTAGTCCTGATGAAATAGTCAAGCATTTGCGGTCTTCACCTGCTATCCTGTGGGTTCTAACTTCTAAGTTCTAACCTCCACAATCCCCTGCCGTTGCCATTCTCTGCAGAGTAACTGGGGCTGCAGAAGCTGCCCCGTTTAGTCTGCAGACACTATTTGGCAGCGGTCGTTCGGGATAATACCGTGGGTTGTCGGCTGTTAGTGCCAATGCATACCATTGTCCCTATACACGGCCGACCATGATTCCACTCACACATGGCCTGATCATTTGCATTTTAAGCATAGAGACCGTGATACATGGAGAAGAAGAAGAAGAGGGAGGAGGAGAGGAGGAGGAGGAGGAGGAGGAGGAGGAGGAGATGGAAGGGAGAAGAAGGATGGAGAAGGAGGGAGAGCGAAAGCAAGTGTAAGGAACCAAATAAGTTCTCATGGATGACACAAAACGATTCAGAAAAAGGAGGACAGTTGCTCTCAAACCTTCTCTTTCTTGCCGGGCACCTTCACATCCATTGTGCCCTGATTGACAAAATCACAAGCAGCAGCACAATAGGCAAAAAGCCATAAGCACATCAGAAAACATGGCTGCTCAACACATGGAAATTTGGGGAAAATTGCACAGGCACAGAGACATACATGCATGATGATCCCGGCAGCAGATCTCCAGCCCAGAACGTTGTTTTCCAGCGAATGAACTTTGATGCTCTTTTGCTGGGCATGGTCACCATGCCCCAATCCCGCAGGTTTTCATGTTATACAAGTTTTGATGGCTTTACAAATTTACACAGTTTCAATATTTCACACGAGTTCTAAAACCGTAAGAAGCAACAAAAGATCTGATGTGTCACAAGCTCTGGTGTGCGGCAAGGATGTCTGACGCTTGCAGCCACGCACATTTTCATGCCGCACAAGCTCACACTGTCATCTTCCATTCGACTCAGGTCACATAGGTTCAGTGTAGAGTTGTTAATCTGTTTTTTTTTTTTTAAGAGTTGTTAATTTGTTCGTTACGTGAGTGACAACTGTTCAATTCCCAAGGAAAAAAAAAAAAGTGTTCGATGCGGGGGTGCCTTCTATCGAGATAGAAAGGAAAAGAGTTAAGAATCTAGGAGTCTAGGACCAAGCAAATCCTCCACAATAAGACCAAACAGTCCAGATTCCGACAACATATCGCACAGCGCTACGCACGTGCAAACGTCGTTGACTACCGTCTTCACCCGAATAGATCGCCCGGTCATTATCGCTGCATCTGGACTGAAAGTTGGGCCACTTGCAGCTATAATGACTGGGCGTTCTATTCGGGTGAAGACGGTAGCGAGTTGAGCGTACTTCAGAGATGTTCCGACCCTCAGAGTTGATTTCTCTGCGAGGTTATTTACAGACGCACATGTATAGTAAACATGTGTGTCTGTCTGTCTGTGGACAAACTCTAAGACGAGTCGACAATGTTCATACGTGGAAGCCATGACCAAATCGCAGTCAACATTTCATACGCTTGGAGAGGGAGTCCCTTGTGCAGAAAAAAAGGAAAACTTCAGACGCCACGACCAAATAGTGCGCGCGTGAAAGCATCGACTGGCAGCACTGAGAGTCGAATTCCCTACAATACGCTTCATTTTTAGGATTTACGTAACATTGGAATTTCTGGAAGAGAATTGAAATATGAGTAGAATCATATACTAGAATGTATTTAAATTTTAAAATTTAAACGATGAATCGGAGAAAAATGCATCCAAATGACTGCCATCCCTCACTAGAGGATATCGACCCTGAGGGAATAGGCTCAAGCCGCTCAACCCTGCGGAGATTATTAGGCTGATACCAGTCTTTCTGATGTTTACTAGCTTTTTGTGGTTCACTTTGAATTTTTCTTCTGATCGAAAAACACGACAGTTTATCCTATCTTCAGAAAGCTGGGAACCTTTCAGCATCCCACCACCTTTTTTTCCTTCTCTCTCGTCTCAGAGTGACATGGTGTGGCAGCAGAACTCAGTGGCGATTCAAACGCAAGCATGGGAAGTTGGGAGCAATACTTATTTAGTACCATGGAGGAGAAGAGCTCGCACCTCGAAGTTTCTGAAGTACTCTTGCATTTTCAGCAACCGGTTTCTCGTATCGCGCATCAGCCCTGCGTCAGCACCAGGCGCCATGTTTGCAGATATTGTTTTCGGATCGTCGCAGAGAAGCGACCTAACGAACTGTATTCAGAAAAAAACACACGGCACAAGCAGTGTTTTTCAGACCAGAGTTCTTAGATCAAAAGGGGGTAGCGCTTACTTAACATTATCGCAGTCCTGAGTTCTCTGTGGTCTAACCAACATGCAGGCCAGACTTATGTATCAAACTGTACCAAACTCCGAATGCCACGGCAGAAGGAGCATTGTTTTGTTTTGTTTTCCAAAGGGGGTAGCTCTTAACATTATCATATCCATCTGATGCCGTCAGGGTTTGATCTAATGATCTGTCCATGACCAGTTACATGTGTGTACAATACATTCAGCCAAATGGGCTGAGGAGCGCTTCATTAAACGCCATGATACCCAGGACAACAAGGAACACTGATGTTCAGGATCCACTTCTGTTTTCAATGGCCTGAGGAGAGAGAGGGAGGCAAGAACTGTACGAAAAAAAAGGAGGAAAGAAAAACAAACTGTAAGAAAGCTTTCGGGAAGGATGGCTAAATCCAACACCCATCCGAAGAACTGCAGTTTCAAAAGGTAAAATTTCGTAAAACAGTTTAAAAAACATGGAAAATTTAAAATTATCCAAACATGTAAATTTTTTTTCTCTCTATTGAGTCTATTCTGTTTCAGTTGGGAGGGAAGTGAAAAAAACTTCTAAAATTATCCAATATTGAATATTGACAATGTATCGTCAAACAGAGCTGCCCGGTAAGCCGTAGGCAAAGAGTGAGTAGAGGACAATAAACGCGGGGCTGTGACAAACTGTTTCGTCAGAGTTTCACCAACTCATCAGTAGGTATCCACGTATCTAAATCCTTGTATTATCCACGTATCCAGTACTATCGACATATCTGGTACTATGATACTACTATCCACATATCTAAAATTATCTATCCACATTTCTGGCATTATCCACATATCTAAAGCCTTGTATTATCCACAGTACATATCCAGATATGTAAAGTTATGTAGAGACTAAACTAAAGGCTTGTATTATCCGCATATCGAAAGGCTTGTATTATCCACGTATTGAAAAGCTTGTATTATCCACATATGCTGTATTATTGCGAGGAATAAGCCCTTGTGGGGCACTTATCAGACATACAAGTGTTCTGGGCTGCGGGCCCTAGCAAGCCTGTGCCCGCCCTAAGTGAAGGCGGGCCTGAATATCCACGTGAGAGGCCTCTTTTCAACATTTTTCCATATGCGGGTACTCAGACAGTTGCAGCACACCAGTTGGTTAGAGAGCGACGTGAGCCTCCAGGCTCTTTCCAGAAGCAAAGGGCTGCGCTGTACAGCTGAGCCCAGGTCTCAGGTGGTTGCGCCCTGGATACACACTGGCCGCCGGCCAATGAGGAAGCAGCATTGTCGTCACACATGTCGCATACCGTAAAGGTGCAGACCAGAACAAGAACCGACCTCTCTCACATGGTAAAGGATAGCACAGCGGAATGCTTAAATACCAATGATCCGAACAATCAATGTTGTAATGCAGATCAAACATACATCATCATCATTCCATGGTGTGAAGGGGCCTGGCGCTCACACAGCAAGAATGCGCCCTGCAGATACTGAGAAGTCAGGTAGCGAGAGGGTGAGGAAGAGATGGTGGACTTAGAAGAGGAAGAAGAAGAACTCTCTCTCTATGGCGCCACAGGTCAGTCTCCCTGGCCTCCGCCAACCAGCTCTCTCTCTCTCTCTCCAACGCTACTCTAGCTCCTACTAGCGCCCAGCGCTGAAGACTACTGCTAACGCTACTACTACTCCTGCAGCGCTCCTCCAGAGTGCTGCTGCCGAATCCTGAAGACTACCTCCTGCCTCCTGGACCGCACGTGAAGTGCCTGGGAAGTCCCTATGAACTACCTGCAGCCTGCAGGGTGGGCCAGTCCTATATAGTGCTGGCCCGTCCAGGAGGCTGCTCTTGCCAATGCCAAAACGTGTCAGACCCTGGGCTTGGAGTTCAAACAAAGGTTGTCTTGAAAACAGGCCAAAAATGGCCTGTGCTAAAAACCCTGGTCTGGTGCCTAAGTTTCAGGGCAGGTCGACTTTATGAGGGCCTGAAAATGGCCCTCGTTTTCAGGCTTTTAGGCTGAAACGACACAGGGCCTGTAGGCCCTCGTTTTCAGGCTTTCAGGCTGAAACGACACAGGGCCTGTAGGCCCTTGTTTTCAGGCATTCAGGCTGAAAAACGACACAGGGCCTGTAGGCCCTTGTTTTCAGGCTTGGGTGAAAACGACACAGGGCCTGTAGGGCCCTTACTTTTCCTCGTTTGGTCGGGCCTTGCAGGCCCCTGTGGATGCGCAGTACGTCACACACATGAGCCGCAAGCCAATGCGAATGCTGCAAACACTTGGAGGCTAGGTAGATGCCAGGACGTGCCTAACTGCACGAGGCCCAGGCCAGTATCTGAAACTGGGCCTGGGCGTAGACACTTGGGGACAGAGTGAAGCTACTGGGCCCCCCCACACGCCTGGCCAGGCCAGCCAGCAGCGGGTACATTTTTCATAAAGGAAAGTGTGAGGCATGCCGGCCTGAGCAGGCATTGCGGCCACGCTGCTGCATTGTTGGGCGATACTGCACTAGGCAGGCATGCTGGGCACACGCGGGCGCTAACAGGCGAGACGGCGTGGTGGCAGTGGGCACGGCGGCCATAGCCGGGCCGAGCGTGCAGGAGCAGGTGTTGGCGATGGTGGTCTTCGGGTAGGAGGCGCATGCAGAGGTGAAGAGGGGAGGAGAGAGAACGCACCTGGTGTATGCTGGTGGTCGGCATAGGTGTTGACATCACGTACATTGGTCTTCGACTTCGATGTGATCCAGTCGCATGAACGTAGATACGAAGATAAGCTGAGTAATGTAGGCTAGGAACTGGGCCCAGACAGTAGGAGCGACATTAGATACAGAGTTGGTGTGTCCAGAGAGTGTCAGCATTGGCACTAGAGTACATTGTATTGCTCTTATTTGGAAGGTATCTTCGTGCATTTGTGCTCTCTGCTTGGTACATGACTATCTGGACTACAGCTTGATTTTGCAACTTGGTTTTCTGTCTATCACTCTCGCTCATATTCCTTGCATTATCTACATATCTGAAATTATCTACATATATCTGGTATTATCCAGATGTCTAAAATTATGGACTTGCTGAGGCTGGTCACTCGTTCATTCACTCACCCACCTCATGGTCAATACAAGCCACAGTGATCGCTGAACCATCGTCAATCCATACAATAGTTTTGAACTTCTCAGTCTTCCGGAACTCGAAACTCTTGACACCAACAAGTAGCCCCTGCCAACAACAAAAAAATGAAACGCCTGCGCTGATGTCAGTATGCAGATCCCAGCACACCCAACCACCTTCCCCCCTTTAATAGATAGCCTCCTCATCAGTAGATGAGAGGCTGCTGAGACGTCCTGCCACACAGCGCTCCTTTTCTTTCTTTGGGGCTAAAGAGGGTGCAAACTGGATGCTTACGGTTGCCCCTCCTTTCTGTGACCTGGTAGGCTCGTCCATTCACGCAGGGCAAGCCAGAGTCTGTGTAGACACCAGGTTCAACAAACTAGGTAGGTTCGGGAGATGTGGTGGTTTAAAGCATTAGGAATGAAATCTACAAAAAGAAATGCATGGCAGGAGCTGCAAGGTATCGTCCGGTAGGAGAACCAATGAAAGCGAGCAGGAAGAAGAGGGAAAGTGAATGAGAGGCAAAGCAAGGAAGAATGACTCATGAAAGATATCACAGGAGGAGGAGGACGAGGAAGGGAAGGAGGAGAGGAGGAGAGGAGGGGGAGGAGGAGGAGGGGAGGCAAGCAGGAGGAGGAGTGGGAGGAGAAGGAGGAGGGGAGGCAAGCAGGGGGGATGCAATCTAGAGAGCATCACATTGGAGAACAGAAATAGGAAAGCTCTGGAAATACTCTGACCTTGATTCGGCCTGTGGCAATACCCTCCTCTTGCACCATCGATCTTTCCTGAGAATGACACATGGAAGACATTCGAGGAGGAGGAGGAGGGGAAGTAAAGCAGGAATGGAGAGCAGATGCCAGAGTAGAGAGCATCAGATGAGAGAACAGAAACAAGAAAGCTTGGAAAGTGCTCTGACCTTGATTCGGCCTGTGGCAAATCCTTCCTCTTGCCCCGTCGATCTTTCAATCAAATCGGCCAGATAAGTAAAGGGATGGTATTCATCCACTGTGTCGGGGGAAGCTGTGTACGGTCCCGTGCGGTCCCTTCTGTCATCGCAAGGGTCCGGATTCTGGAGCTTGCCTCCCTCTGCTTGCTGACCACTTCTCACTGAGCCCTGCTGCTGCTGCTGGTGCTGTTGTGGCGCTGTCGGTCGTAACGGCGGGCGCTGCTCATCATTATCGTCGTCATCCTCGATCTCCATGGGCACCGCACCACTATTCCCAGGTAGTGGCCTTGATATGGACACAGGTGACGCAGCAACATTTCCCCGGACAGTAGGCATCTCACCTGGGGGAACATTGCCAAAAGAAAAACATCATTCCAACTTGGCAACTTCCATATTTGTTTCGTAAGAAAGAAGAGCAGAAAATGTCACAGTCAGACACTCAGAGCGATAGCTCCTTTCGGCCTTGTGCTGCCCCCCCCCCCGCCCCCCCAAACAACAATGGGACAGAAAAAAAAATGAAAGAAAAGAAAGCGGCACACATATCATATGGACAATTTGATTCTCAAAACGAAACGTAACTATTTTAGTATTTTTCTGACAACATTGTTACTAAACAGATTACAAAGCGCCTTCGGCTGGAGGCCTTGCCGCCCCTGAATTTTTTCCTTTGCTCGCGAACTTCTAGGTACTGCTTCCGGCACGGGGCTCGTAAAACATATTGTTTCTCGTAAAGAAAAACAGATAACGAAGAACACATATAGCTACTTCCTGATAAAAATGTGGGTTTAGAATTTAGGTTTTAGGGTTTTCTACATCACCTAGTCATGCAGTTTTCTTCGCAAATGAGGGCATCTGTATCATACTCACGAAAGGCTTGATCCACCCCACTTCACCACGCTTCTTTAGCCACAAAAAGAATGTACCATACCTGCGCTGCTATAGGAACAAGGTGTGCCGGTGAAACGATTCACCAGAGAATGGCTTGGCAAAGTGTTATTGCCATAATGTGTGACCACGTGCACACACATCAAAACCCACACAGACACACATTCATCCATCCACCATTCCCTGCTTCCACATCCCCATATCCATTTATCTGTCCATCCATCCATTCATCCCCGCCGTCTTCCCTCGCACCGTGCATCTGATCCCCATGCCTCCTGCAACTCCCTCTTCGCCCCGTCTTTTCACCCCCCTCATCGTCCCCCTTCTCCATCATCTCCTTCACCACACGGTTGCCTCCCTCCACCCACCACACTGCAGCTCCATCTTGCTTCCCTACCCCCTCCACTTCCTCTTCCTCCAGTCTTTTCCCCCCACCTCATCCTCCCCCATATCCATCACCTCCTAGTCACCCCAGTTGCCCCCCTCCCCCAGCCCCACCTCAGCCCCATCTTGCTTCCCTCCCCAACCCCTCATGTGGTGGACAGAGCGGTAGACACCAAATGAGCATAATGCGAAAGGATCTTTTGCTAAACTTTGGGAAGACACACCACCATAATTCTTGTCTTTTGCCCATGTGGTGAGTAGTGGAGCGAGGCCCATGGCTCTCTCTCTCTCTCTCTCTCTCTCTCTCTCTCTCTCTCTCTCTCTCTCTCTCTCTCTCTCTCTCTCTCTCNTCTCTCTCTCTCTCTCTCTCTCTCTCTCTCTCTCTCTCTCTCTCTCTCTCTCTCTCTCTCTCTCTCTCCATGCTGGGTGAATGATGCTGCAACACATCCTTCCTCCTCTCCTCTCCTCCCCTCCCTCTCTCCCCCGCCACCCCCGGTCTCTCCGTCTTGAGAAACTTTTCTTCGCGCCTCCATCTCCCTCTACCCCCTAACCACTGTGCACGGAGCCACAGCAGGCTTCATTCATTCTACAATAATTATGAAAACAACAAATTCAACTTTGCACCTTCAGCAAGACAAAACAGAAAAAAGGGAAAAAAAGAAAATTTTGAAGTGGGAATTGAAGTACAAAGTGCACCAGAGACTTGGAATCATTCAATAACAGTGAGGGTGATTGGAGTGGATGAACGATCAAGGCAGGTGGTAGTATTGGAGAAAGAGAATGGTGGGCAAATAAGTGTCCGTCTACGACGACACGCAAAGCCACAAACAATGAACAAGGGTATGTTCCGGCTGAAAAGCTGGCACACAGGGGTACAGAGCCCTTCGCTAACCGCCACAACAACCGGGTGTATTTGTGAGTGTACGGGTGCCGTAAATTGTTCTATCAGTAGAATGAAGACCCGACAAACAAAGAAACAAACCAACAAATCAACAAACGAACCATCGAATGAACAAACCCACCAAAAAATGAGCCAACCAACTGAACGAGCCGATTGGACAACCGACTGACCGGGCGACTGACTGACAGGTCAACCGACTGGCCAGCCAACCAGCCACCAGACCCACCAGACCGACCAGGCACCTGACCGAACGGCCAACCAACTGCTCCGTCAACCAACCGATCGACCGACTGGCCGACCAACCGACTGAACCAATGAACGACCAACCGAACAGCAAAACAAACCAATTAGCCAGCGTACCAATGAATGACCGGCCGAAGAGATCACCCAAGCAGTCAATAAAACAAGCAAGCAACCAACCAACCAATCAATCAACCAACAAGCAACCCAACCACCCATGCGATCAACCAGCGAGCGAATGAACCAGCCAACCAACCGACCAACCAACCAACCAACCCACGAACCAATGAAGCGACCAATGAATACGATCGACCAACCAAACAACTGACTGGCCAACTGAGCGACTGAGTGACCAATCAACCAGACGATCGACCGCCCAAATGACCAGACAACTGAAGGAACGAACGGATGCCCAACCAAATGAGCAAATGACTGAACCAACGAACAAACAAACAAACAAACCAAACAATTCGACATACAACCAACCTGGCAACCGGCCAGACAAACAGCCGATCGACACTGAACCAACAAACAAATGAACAAACCAAACAAGTGCATACAACCAACCTGGCAACCGGCCCAATGCCACTGGCTGACCAAACGAACAAACGAGCAGATGATTGTCTGAACAATGAAATGGACAACCGACCAAATGAACAAACCAACAAAGAACGAACCAACCAACCAACCAACCAACCAACCAACCAAACAATCAGCCAACCAAACAACCACACAACCAATTAACTGACCAACCAACCAACCAAACAAACAAACAATCAGCCAACCAAACAACCACACAACCAATTAACCGACCAACCAACCAACCAACCAACCAACCAAACAATCAGCCAACCAAACAACCACAACCAATTAACTGACCAACCAACGGACAACAAACCCACCCGGGCATTAACTGACAAACGAGCCGACAGGACAAACCAACTGGACCCAATGGCCCACCAAACTGACCTACCAAGCCGGCCAACCAACATGCCAACTCGAACCACTGACCCACGGATGGAAGCGAGATCCACCCACCCACTCCACCTACCCCACCGGATGAATCCCCCCAGGCGAAAGGACTGGACCAACAAAACAACCAGAGCAATCAACTGCAAAGACAAACCAACCGGACGAACTAGCTCGGCGAACCAACTGGACCAACGAACAGACACGAACAAACCGAGGGGCAAACAAATCAGATGAACTGGGCGGACCAAGGACTGAACCAACCAACCAAACTGACCTACCACCCAATGGACCGCCAAACGGACTGACCACCCCACTGACCCACCAACCGACAGACCAAACAAATCCATCCACTAACCAAACAAATCCACCCACTCACAGATCAAACCAACCTACTGACCACCGACCCACTCACTGACCGATCAACCAACCTACAAACCTACCCACCAAAACAACCATCTGTAACATACAAAGTACCATTCATAATCACACGTTCCCCCCTGTTCTAGTGAAAATTTCCATTTTCTCCATCCACAGGGATTCACAAATACCATTCACCCATTGTGAACCAGGGATTCACAAATGACATTCAACTCAATCTGAACCAGGGATTCACAAATGACATTCAACTCAATCTCTGTAATCCACAAGTGCTGCAGCTAAAATGCTAGTGAAAGCTACGATACCAAGAAAATCCACACAGGAATAAATTGCAGACCCAGAAACATTGCTGCCTCTAAGTAGCAAAGTACCGAACGTTTGAGTGCATGAGACAGATATAGCAGAGCAACACACATGCACAGAGAGAGGAAGGAGTAGTGAGCGAGCAAACAAGAGAGAGAGAGAGAGAGAGAGAGAGAGAGAGAGAGAGAGAGAGAGAGAGAGAGAGAGAGAGAGAGAGAGAGAGAGAGAGAGAGAGAG